TGAGGGACTGCCTGGTGAGGAGTTGTTGGAACTGGAACAGGAATGCATAGCTAAAGAAGAGGCAGAGAGCCCTAGCCAGTGTGGCTCAGTGGACAGAGCGTTAGCCTGTGGACTGAAGGGTCCCAGGTTCGATCCCGGTCAAGGGCACATGCCCAGATTGTGAGCTCGATCCCCAGTAGGGGGCACGTAGGAGGCAGCTGATCACTGATTCTCTCTCATCATTGATGTTTCTATCTTTCTCTCCCTCCCTCTCCCTACCTGTCTGAGATCAATTAAAAATACATTTTTAAAAAGTCATGTGGTAAGATGGGGATCTGGGACTGGCTTGCTCATTGCTTGACAAGCAAAGAGGGTGCCAACCTAGACAATCTTGGCATATAGGGCTGATGCTCTAACCAACGGAGCTACCCAGCCAGAGCTGAACACTTTTTATTGCAGTGTCACTGATGTCAAAATTAACATACAGTTAACGACATATTGACAAGGGTATACAACTGGGAAACCATGACCACAATCAAGATGAACATGCCCATCACCCTGAAAAGTTTCCTCCTGCTCCTTTGTAATGCCTCTCTCTCACCCCCAGCGTCCCCCATCCCTAGGCATCCATTGATCTACTTTCTGTCACTTTCCAGAACTTTATATTAATAGAATCATTCAGTATATAACACTTTTTTCCTAGCTTCTTTCATTCAGCATATTATTTTGAGATCTGTCCATGTTGCTCCATGTATTTTTATTGCTGAGTAATATCCCATTGTATGGATAGACCAACATTTGTTTATCTGCTCACCTATTGGTGGACATCGGGCTTTTCCAGACTGGCTTCTTTCGCGTAGCAACATGCATTTAAAATGTATCCATGTCTTTTCACAGCTTGATAACTCATTTCTTTTCATTGCTGAATAGTATTCCATTTTTGGGATCTATCATAGTTTACTAGGTGTACCGGTTAATAATGCGGATTTTTTTTCAATAGATGGAGTTACACATATGTTGATTTATATGCGATTTGATATATATGCGATTTTGTTGTATTGACAACAAGCTTCAAAACTTCCTATGTCAAATTTTCTGAAGGTGTTAACATCGCAGATATTTTTATGCTTAAAAATGTCGAATTTCGCCCTAACCAGTTTGGCTCAGTGAATAGAGCGTTGCCCTGCGGACTCAAGGGTCCCAGGTTCGAGTCTGGTCAAGGGCATGTGCCTTGGTTGGGGCACATCCCCAGTAGGGGGTGTGCAGGAGGCAGCTGATCGATGTTTCTCTCTCATCGATGTTTCTAACTCTCTATCCCTCTCCCTTCCTCTCTGTAAAAAATCAATGAAATATATTTTTTAAAAAATGGAGTTTGGAGGCCTGAAGAAGAACCCATTAAAGAAATTTAAAATGTTATCTACTTTCCAAACCACACCACCTTGGTGTGAATATTTGTAATAAATTTTGTAATTATCCTTTGAGGAACACAATACAAAATTCACGTGTACATAGTAAAAGCTCAGATGTGTTAAATGTGTTAAAAGTACATTTAATATAGTCCGAGCTCTAGAACTCTGGTCTTTCATCTTTTTTTTTTTTTAATTAAGGATTTTATTTTTATTTTTATTTTTCATCATTTTTTCAACCTACCGCTAAGGCTCAGAAAATATAAGTGGCCTCTCTGGTTTCCCTACCCCTGTAGGATAAAAGTCTGCTTTAGCTTTATTTTACCCACATAACAGCTTTATTTTACGCACATAATTAAAGGAAAAGCCGATGGCAACCGTTACCACGACAACAGAATGCGTTCGCTCCCCTCTAAACGCGGTTCCCCTCGGCTTCCCAGCAGGCACTGCGCTGCTTACAAGCCTTCCGCCCCTCTCCATCCCAGCATGCAACGGGGCTCATACGCCGTGGGGTCGTCATCGGGATAGTTATAGATATGCCTTAATATCGTCCCTCGTTTAAACGTTGCAACGGTCTGCAATGGAGTCATAGGAGGAAAAAGCTCAAAAGATCGGTCTTAGCGATTTTTTTCCTCCTTAAATCGCGAGGAGGGAAGCCCCGTCACTGCCTAGACGCGCTCAGGCACCTCGTTGGGCAGCCTGCGCAGACCGGCTGCGTGGGGGCCTCGGGGCCTGAGGCCGGGCACGTGCGGGAGGAAGTGGCGCTGTCAGTCCGCGCGGCGCTCCAGGCCCCATCAGCGTGGAGCCATGGGAGACCTGGAGAAGAAGAAGGTG